ATAGATAGCAAAAATAGGTCCCTTTGAGACAGGGGTTGACACACACACACACACTACACCAGTCTGGTCGATGTCCTGGAACGAAAGCGTCGATGCATTCGTGAAGTCGATAGGTTTGGCGCGACCTGATCATTGATGAGGCGAGGCATGGCATGGCAGGTTTGAGGTTCGAGAGACTCAACAAAAACACGATGGAGTTACTTGTAAAGGTGGAAGAACTTCTGAGGGTTCTCAACGTCCTGCAACCTTTTGGTTTGATGTATGATCTTTCAGGTTTTTGTGATTGAACATGGATCGGGACAGGGATCCATCCACATTCATGTTGAGAAACCATCCTCGAATGGAATGAGTGCCCTTCCTTCCTGGAACGAGTGCCCTTCTGAAGACCAGTGCCCCAAAAGCACCTGGTGGATGCGCACACTGGTACCTCCAGTCGTCCCAGCACTGATCCACCAATTCGCTCCTGTACCTCCAGACGTACCTCCTCAGGTCTTTGGCACCCGGGCCCCCCCAGTCCCACCGAACCGAAGCCGACGACGGGAGCCGAAGTCCACCAATGCTGATGACTTGAACCGTTTGGATGGACTTTGAAGTGAACGGTGCTCCCATGAACCCTCCCGTGAACCCCACCGAAAGAAAGACGTCGACGACCTGACCCGCTTTTAATGAGACCATCCCGCTTTTGAATTGCTGCGCGCTGGCACCGGTGGTCTTTCTTCTGCCACCGATCGCACCCTGCGACCTCGCCTCCCGAGCTCGACGAGGCCACCGAGTTGAAGGTTTGCTGGTGCGACGTGGCCACTGGGCCGAGCGCCTTTCGCGGACGGACGGCGCGAGCTGACGGACCGACGTGGTCACCGTGGTATCAACGGGCTGCAACGAAGCGGGTGCGTTGAAGCGACCGTCGCGGGTGAAGCCCGGTGGTGAAGACCGGTGGACTGGTGTGACCGGTGAACTGGTTCTAGAATCATGTCAAATGGTGAGGAGTGAGGAGGACTGTTGAGCATCAAGTGTAGACTACAGAGTCAGAGGTGTGGAATGTAGGTGTGGAATGGGTGCGAGGGAAGTTGATATAGTGGTGAAACAAACCAACTGCTTGTACTGAATGATGTCCTCCTTGTACTTGACGACCTGACTTTAGGTTCATATATTATTGGTCAAATCTCACAGAAGTGACAGAAGCCTCAGGATGTCCAAACAGACAACCACAACTGGGCAGACTGAGCCAAGAGTGAATCCCTTTCAGAGGCCATGGTAAACTGAGGCTTGAAAAATGGCTTTGATCATGTTGGATCCAACTTCAGTGCCCGAGTCGGACCGATGCGATGCTCGCCGAGCCGATGAATTCGAAGCGGCTTCTTCTCCTCATGCGCTCGCTTCGCCGCCCCGCTTCGCGACCGGGCCGAAGAACGTGGGCCGAAGAACGCCTCGACACTGCAAGCGTCTGGCCGATCTGGCCGATCTGGCCGATGGCCACGTCGCGAAAAACCAATGGGGACACGTCCCGCTTTGAAGCAGCTACGGTGTATGACGTGGAGTGAAAACCAAGCTGCAGCGGTCTTCGGCCAGGCTTTCGAACCATGATGGTTTCAGGGAGTGTAAGTGGAATTCATGGAATGATCCAAAGTGTCCAATACAAGGTCTCGTTGCTACTAGACTTGACCCGCCAAGTCAAAGAGAGTCTACGGCAAGCGCTGGCTCCGAGCATCACTGTTCCGAGCACTCCTGATTTACATCAGAGAAGCTCTTCGACATTCTTCGACCATGTGTTCTGCCAGCTGCGAAGCCTTCACTGTTTTGTTTTTCAGAAACAGTGTGATGCTTCGCACTTGTGGGGACTGCAAGGTGTGCCATTGGACTCTTATGCCATGGGGTGCCAAGGGCCCAAATGGCTTCGTGGCTCACCTCGCCCACTGGCAGTCCTTCGAACGCCCAGTCAAGAGACGACCTCAACTCACCTTTTTGGAGTGGCATTTGGCTCACCCTGGACCACCAGGACCCACTGGCGGGGTGCTTCATGGACACCCGGCACACCCGTATAGGTGGAAGCCACCACCACCTTACGGTTTGGGGTCTCCAGGGGCCGGTTTGGGCGCATGTTCCGCTGGTTGCACCCCCAATAGCTACCGTACAAGCCTGCATATGAACCTGCAGATAGCTCGATGTGGACGAGGACAGGATGGAAAAGGTGATTCTTCACTGAAACCTGGAAGTTGTCACACTGTATCACACTGTCCTCTTCAGGTTGAATAATTATATATTATTCGGCAAGCATGACCATATTTGTTTTGATCCTCTACTCGAAGAGGATTACAACTGTCATTGCGAAGGGGTGCGTGGTAGTAGATAGTAGATGTAATTGATTGTAACTGCATATTACTTATTAATTGTACATTAATTGTAATTACGTATGATTACAACATTGTAACGTAACCACGTAGTTAGGAGAGGATGCCGCAGGATGCCCATCTTGTTTATGAGAAGAGTCCTCCCATAGTCTGATGGTCTTTCTCTGCGACGAAGCACCATGCGACGCGTCGCGAAATCGCGCGGAATCTGAGGCGCCCTGTCCTTACGACTCCCACTTTAAAGTGGAAGCCATGTACCTCTCCGTTGGAGTGGGCAGCCTAGCCATGGACGACTGGGGTGATGTGGACGACTGGGCGCTGTGTGGAGGGATGTGGAGGGAAAACTGCACCCACCTGGTTCTTCTGTCAGTGTCTGTGTGCACTGAGGATGAGGGTCCCGAAGGGGGTCCCTCCCGATTTCTCCCAGACTTGGTGCGTTCTTTTCGGGCAACGAGGAGGTGAACCTGGTTGAACACGCGACGGGCCCAAAGGCATCATGGTGAACACGGTTGCGAGAACGGCCACCCTGGGACCAGTCTTAAAGGATGCTGGGATGCGGTGGGTACAATGCGCTTCAACATGTAATGCACAGACTTGCGAGCTATTGGAGTTTTTGCGTTGCAGTGGAACACTCCCCCAACTGCTCCTATAGTCCCTTCAGATGCAATCTCTGAGTTCTGTCAGCGTCCCATATCTCCAATGTCCAACACCGGACTCAGCGCCCGCGGCCAGGGCCCCACACAGAAGACCCAGGTGGTCGAGTTTGGACAACGCTTCGACTTACTCTTAGAAGGCCCGCGGGTAGCGGTGCGGGCGCGCGTAGCCTGACGTTGGGCCCGTGGAGCTGGGACTTGTGTAGAGGACCATTCTCTCTTTTCTTGGAGTCGTGCTATGGAGAGAAAAAGAGAAGATGGTACGATCTGAAGATTCGGCGCCATGCCACACCCATATTAATTTCTGAACAACCCATCTGAACTGAACTTCAGTGTCCCTGATGCTTTTTGACATCTGAACCATTCTGAACCTCTTGAAGCCCATTTATCTAAGTTCGGGCACCTTTTGAAACCCAACCACCCGACTCTTCGTTCGAAGTGCGGCTTCCGATGGTGTGGATGGTTTTGCCAACGAATCCGACGTCGAACACATCAACAGTGACGAGTCCAGTCTGATACGTGGCGGTCCCACGGTCGGGTCGTTGTCCCACGCCGAGACCGAGGGGTGGAGCGGTCCGAGACCTTGGTGGAGGGACGTCCCGGACGGGGGCTCCAGGTGTCAGCCATCCCCAAGTGATCCTTGAAGTTTTTGCCACAAGGTTCTAGCAGGGGGCTTTAGGTGTCTGCCCACGACACCAAGAACCTGCCAAACGAGTCTTCGCAAAAATCAAACATCCCAACCAAATGGAAGGCTTTGGTCGTGTCTTTTGTAAGGGATTGTGGGCTCCAGCATGGTGCCCAAATCCAGAAATGTTCAGCATTCATCCTTTTGAGGTTGCTGGTTTGGCGCGGAAAAGAGGGAGGCTGCCGCACAAAGGCATGCCTCACTTTCTGTTTACTGAACTCGTTCCCCAAAACAACTTCCTTCCCTGGACGATGACCGCCCCACGCTTTTTCTGTTCGATCTCGACCGCCCCCGACCCACGGTTCTCGCTTCGGACAGGCCCTGGTGGCTTCAAGGCGGCCGACCGCGTGCGGCTGCAAGACGCCCAAGTGCCGCTCGGCGACCACGGGAAGGGCGGAGCTGCAGCGGAGTGCGCGTGCTGCGGACGGCAGAGACACGTGGAAGGGCCGATTTTTGCAGTTGGGGTTTTCCACTTGGCGTGGAAGTCGTAGGTGTAGTGGTAGTAGTAGCAGTAGTGGTAGTGGTAGTGGCAGTGGCAGTGGCAGTCGTTGTGGTTGTGGTTGTTGTGGTGCTGCTGTTGCTGTTGCTGTTGCTGTTGCTGTTGCTGTTGCTGCTGCTGGTGGTGTTGGTGTTGGTGTTGGTGTTGGTGTTGGTGTTGGTGTTGTTGTTGTTGTTGTTGTTGTTGTTGTTGTTGTTGTTGTTGTTG